TGGGGGCCTGATGGACACTCCCTCAGCTCCTGTTAGCCTCTCGTGGCGGCCCTGTTCCCCTGTATATGAGGGGAGGCCAGTGAGGATCCCAGAACGACCACACTCCTCCTCCAGGGGCTCCCCCTCCCCCGCCCCTCCAGGCTCCCAGACATTCAGCGTGAGGTTCTTTTCCAAGTGCTCTCGCCCCACCCCCCACGCACACATACACACACCCCCCTCACACCCCTCCCAGCCAAACATCAGTCTCTGCCCATCTGTGACCCCCAGCAGGGGCCTAAAATAAGAACTGGGGCTCTGTGAATTCAAATCAAACTGAGCTCTGTTTTTATCACTGGTTAAAGTCTGTGGCACCGCCAGGACCCGACCCTGTCCTTTCCTGGGCACCAGCAAAGGAGTCCCCTCCTCTCACACACTTCTGGTCCCTCAGGGGTACCGGGGTCATGGTGGGGAAGAGGAGCTCAGGGCTGAGGCCGAGACCAGTTTGGGAGCTATGGGGTCCCCGCAGGTCTCCTGGCAGGGCTGGGGGACGCCGAGGCCCAGCAGACCACCCTGCATCCGGTTGTGGGCCGTGTCTTCGTGCACACCTTGGACCATGAAACCTTCTTTCGCCTTCCTGTGCGCGGCGGTGAGAGGGGCCTCATGGGCACCGGGATGGGTTGGGGATGCCTGGCCTGCGGCTGGTGAAGGCTCCTGGCCTGTCTCCAACCCCTCTCCTCCCTTCCACCAGCTGTCCCACCCACTGTGCCTGTCACCTACCACGCCCACCTCCAGGGACACCCAGACCTGCCTCGGTGGCTCCGCTATACCCAGCGCAGCCCCCGCCACCCTGGCTTCCTCTATGGTAGCCCCACCCCAGAAGATCGCGGACGCCAGGTCATTGAGGTACCAGAGGGGACCGCAGTGGGCTGTGTCACATGTGGGTGTTCCTTCATCTTCCTTTACATTATTTACATGCCTCTAACTTGGTAGTGGCTCAGTCCTTTCCTGCCAGGCTCCAGCTGCAGCACTTTTCTCCACTAACCCTGCCTCTCAGGCCTCTTTGCTGTCCCCTGCAGGTCGTAGCCTACAACCGGGACAGCTTCGACACCGCCCAGCAGAGGCTGGTGCTGTTGATTGGGGACACAGAAGGTACTACCCACCCTGCCCCACCCACACCGCACCAACAGCAGTCTTGAGGGGTCTTCCCCTGGAAGGGGTGTGTGGGAGGGAAGACTTGGAGAGGAGTGGGCAGCAGGGCATCTTAGAAGGCCTGTGGAATGGTAATCCTGGCTGCTCTGCTGACAGTCTGGGGGTGTCGGGGATGGGCGTTTGGGGTGTGCAATTGATGGGATATTAGGGAGGAAGGAAGGAGCCTGAGGGGATATAGGGAGGAGCTTGTGTGGAAGGAGGCTTGGGAAGGACCTACGCAGGGCTGGGTGCAGCCTGAGGTGCCAACCTGACACTTCTAGGCCCCCTGCTGCCATACCAGGCTGAGTTCTTGGTGCGCAGCCATGACGTGGAGGAGGTGCTGCCCTCAACACCTGCCAGCCGCTTCCTCACAGTCTTAGGGGGGCTCTGGGAGCCGGGAGAGATTCAGCTGCTCAACATCACCTCTGCCTTGGACCGTGGGGGTCGTGTCCCCCTTCCCATCGAGGGCCGGAAGGAAGGGTAGGCATGCAACCTAGGAGGGCTTCTTGGAGGAGGCCGTTTGCCTTCTGTCTGGGTGGTAGGCATAGTACGTGGGTCTCCCTAATTTCCAGGGGCGGCTTTACCTCCCTTTGTGCCCCCTCACCATGGTTCTATGAAGTTTTCTCATAAACATCTTTGCCACAAGCATTTTGGCCACGAGCATTTTTGCTGCAAATATCTTCCCTGCATAACTAATTGGCCACCAGGCAATTTTGCTAAAAAAGATAAAAGTACAAAAAAAAATATAAAACAGGGACAATAAAAGGACATTATGAAACATCAATAACAAAATAAAAGACTTTATCACAAAAAATGAAAATGCATTGTTTTTGGAATCTTCCATTCATGGTATTATACAGTTTTTTGCTTGTTGATTGGTCTCATTTGGCATTGCATTTTTTTTTTTCTGTTCTGCTAAAATTTCTTCCTTAATTAAGAGAGGCATCAGTTTCCAACTAAGGAATCAATACTACTTTTGAAGGCTTGTGAATTAGTGGCACCTCTTTTATATTTGTAGAGCTGGGTAAACATTTGGGAAGGATGACTGTACTGACCGAAGGATTTGCCAACTGAGATGTGATCGCTTTCTAGTGGAGTATGAACCCTGGCTTGACACGCGCCTTTGCACGCTGGCTCCGCAGGCAGTGGTGATTGCCCACGGCCTTCAGGCTGCCCTGTCTGCTCGGCACTGTCCAGACCACTATGCGGATTAAGATTGATATCAAAGCGGGAGTTCTGGGAGAACTTCATCAATGGAGAAATGGAACCAAAACGACAAAGTGCACTAAGTCTGCTAGAATAAACCAACCTGTCAAACAAATTGCCTTACCGTCAATTAGTTTGCAGAGAATACGCTTGTGGCAAAGATGTTCACTAGGAAACTTTCAGACATGTCTCCCTAGGCCCATCTGCACCTCCGAGTTTCACTCCATTGCCCACTTCCCTCGGGCCACCCCCACATTCCCCTCTTTCCCTTTGTGCACCCAAGGCCTTGTTACAAACTCCACTTTCCTGCACCCTCCCTATTTGCTAACAGTGGCTTCTCTCTGGGCCCAGGGTGTACATCAAGGTGGGCTCTGCCTCACCATTTTCTACCTGCCTGAAGATGGTGGCGTCTCCCGACAGTCAGGCTCGCTGTGCCCAGGGCCAGCCCCCACTTCTGTCCTGCTATGACACCTTGGCATCTCACTTCCGAGTTGACTGGTGCAATGTGTCCCTGGTGAGGAGAGACCCTGGCTCCGGGGTGGGGATTCGACATGGCTCCCATCACAGTCCGACCCCTCCCGCCTTCCCATCCCCCATCCCAGTCTCTCTGATTATCTTCTCTCTCTTTTCCTCCCTCCCTTCCTTCCTCCTTCTCTCTCTCTCTCTCTCTCTCTCTCTCACACACACACACACACACACACACTCTCTCTCACACACACACACACACACACACACACACACACACACACACACACACACACACACACACACTTACTTCCACCATCTACCACAAGAGGGCGACAGAGTCCATGACCCAGGGATCTCTGGCTCCCCAGGTTCCGTAATAATCACTCCCACAATGCAGTTTCAAAATCCTTTCCCCACCAAAGGCCTCTGTGTGACAGCTCTGCCTGCTTCCTTCTAAGGTGTCACCGAGCAAATCTGCCTGTGGTAAGGAACAGAGAGTTCTCACGCCCATGTTATAAATCAGAGATGCTCACTGCTGTTCTTTGGTTGGTGAGCTGAGGTATCTGAGGTTCCTAGTGTTCTCTCTTCCTGGGAATTGAATGATAGCCTAGTCAGGGGCTGGTAACCAACAACATTCTTGAGCACTTGCTACGTGCTGGACTCTATGCATTCAACCCCTTTTGTTCTTACAACCACCCCAGGAGACAGGTACCAATAACATTGGTACTCGCAACTTTACAAGTTAGGAGACTGAGGCACCTAGAGGTAAGCACTTGTCTGAGTCAGGATTCAACCCCAGGCAGCTGGATCCTAGTGCTGTGCTCTAACCATTGTGTGGTGCTGCCTCTGAAAATCTCTCTCCTGGCTCCCAGTCCAGTGCTTGTCTTGCTGGATCTCCTGAGCTGGGAGAGGCAGGCAGGAGGAAACCTGGTCTTGTGGGACAGTAGGTAGTGGCACCCCGGAATCCCTACCCTGTTCCCCTGGGGGGAGTCTCCGTGTCCAGCCAGGTGCTCCTGCATCAGCCCTGGGCTCTCTGAGCAGGTGGATAAGTCAGTGCCAGAGCCTGCAGATGAGGTGCCCACCCCAGGCGATGGGATCCTGGAACGTGACCCCTTCTTCTGCCCACCCACCGAGGCCACAGCCAGGGACTTCCTGACCGATGCACTGGTCACCCTCCTGGTGCCTCTGCTGGTGGCCCTGCTCCTCACTCTGCTGCTGGCCTATGTCATGTGCTGCCGACGAGAGGGACGGTGAGTGTGGGGGACAGAGGGCAGGGAGGGCACTGTGGTTGGTGCTCAATGGTGGGACTCCTTGTGGCACTTGTACTATGTGGGGACCCAGACCCCCCAGGGAGTGGGGTACTTAACCAGAAAAGAAGGGAGGGCCCTTTCTAGGCGACACAGGGCTTGGGTCCCCCCGGCACCAGGAGGGGCCTGTGGATAACAGTTGATCCCTTTCCCTGCTTTTCCACAGGCTGAAGAGAGACCTGGCTACCTCTGAGTGAGTAAGGGAGCGCTGGGGGTGGGTGGGAGCCTCCGCACCCCGTCAGGCAGGACCCCCCAGCCTCCATGAGCAGCGCAGGCAAACCACACTCTTCTGAGAGGATGGGGGCCACCCTGGACCACCGAAGTCCAATCCTGGGCTGGCTGGGTGCTGGGCCTCACTTCTCCTGGCTTGGCCTTTTGACAGTTTTGGTCTCCACGGAAGAGTCTAATAGGGATGGGGCAGGGGAGGGGACCTGGTCAGGCTTCGCGGAGGTCTCCTGCCACCCTGGGGGCCAAGACTGGAGAAGCAGCCTAAGGACGCTCGGCACACTCGCTCTCACACCCGCTTGGCCGTGGGTCAGGTGCTCGGGTTCCAGCCCGGGTTCTGCTGCACAGCGACTGTGACCCTTTCTGGCCTCAGCTGCTTTGCCTGCGGTGTGGTGAGACTAGCTCGTGCTGCTGGATGTTCCCAGATCCCTCTCACCTCCTTTTGCCCAGGTTGCCCCCTCCCGTGGCCTTGCTCCACCTCCATGCCCCGCCCACGTCCTTTCCTACACCCTTGAACCCCAAAGATTCCAGGAGGCAGGTGTTAAATAAGTTAGGCTCCTTTTATTGTCACTGCTCTGAGCCTGCGGTGGGCTTGGCCCCTCTGCTTGCTTGTCTGGGCCTGCCTCACTAATTGCGGCTGCATTTGGCCACCCTGCGAGCTCCCTTGATTAGCCGCCTGTGTCCCTGTTTGGAGCTCAGGAGAAACCTTTGCTGCCTAGAACGGCGCTGCCCAGACCGGCGCTGCTTCTGCTGCCCCCGTCTCTTGGCCTCGAGCTTGAACTTGGAGACCTGCTTCTTGTTCATGCAGAAGGAACCTGAGGTCCCCTTGCTGGTCACCTGCTTGAGTACGCCCTTGTCTACCAGCCCCTTGAGCACTTTCTTGAAGCGCCAGGCGTTGCGGGTCATGTTGTAGCCCGTGGTGATGAGCGCCTTCTTCAGGGTGGCCAGGGACACGCGGCTGCGCCTCCCCTTGTCTTCCATAACCTCCAGGATGACCCCGCATATGCTGGGCTTTCTGCAGGCTTTGGGGCAGGCGCGGTGACCACTCTCACTCTCGCTAGGGACTCCTGACACACTGGCCTGCTGGCCTGCACTGAGGGCACTGTTTGAGGCCGAGGGCGCAGATGAGGGTGGCATCAGAGTATCTTTCTGCATCTCTCCCTCGGGTGGGTGAAGGGAACTGGGCGCGAGGACCTCCAGGATGGCGGCTGAATCTGCAGTCGGTGGCTCCTCTGTGGGTGAGATACGTCCCAGTTTCTGTTTCCCTCAGAGGCGTCCTCCTAGGGCTCCGGCTCAAGCCTTTCCCTGGGTGGCCAGGAGGAGGACCAAGGATGAGCACCCACGCTGGCCCCAGCAGACTTGTGCCTTGGGTGCAGGGGGTGGTCAGGTTATCTCTGTGGTGACCTCAGGGGGACATTATGAGGCCCCCAGAATCCTGTGAGGGTCACAATGGCCCCATTGTTGCCTCCTGGGAGGGGGTGACAGGAGATGCCAGGTACTCTGGGCGGAAGGGCTGTGGCCCGACGCTAGTGCACGTGTACATGCGTGAGTGCCAGTCAGTCTCAGGGTGCTCAGAGACCCCCGTTTTCAACCCCTCATTTTCACCTTACTGTCTCAACCCACTGGGTTGAGAATAAACATTTTTAGTTCAGAATCATACCAACATTTATTAATTTTTATGGGCAATACATTTCCAGAGTAAAAGAATTCCTTGATCTACCTCAGCTGATTTAATTCCTTCATTAACTTTCTATACGAAGCAATGAACAGGCTTTTCTTTCCTTTTTTTTTCTATTTTCATTTTTAATTGATAGAATTTTTTTCTCCCATGGAGATCAGTGATTTTTTTATGTCAATTTTACAAGGGAGATTTTGTTCCTCCATTTTTTTTTGGCCAGTGCCAAATTTGATCAATTACATCTCCTGCCATTGTGACTGTGGATATTCTCTTTTGACCAGTTATTTCCACCACGCCCAGCTGTTCTGGGTCAGTGTTTTAAAAATTAACTTTTTAATTAAAAAAATTTTGTTTATTGATTTTTAGAGAGAGGAAGGGCGAGAGAGAGAGGGAAACATTGATTTGACTTGTTATTCCACCTCTCCATGCATTCATTGGTTGGTTCTTGTATGTGCCCTGCCTGGGCACGGAAACCACAACCTTGGCACATGGGGCCAACGCTCCAACCAACGGAACTACCTACCTGCTCAGGGCCTGGGTCACTTTGGTAGCTCTGATGGCATCTAGATCTCCTTCTTCCTCCAATTTTGAATCAATAACCAATTTTACTGTGAGCGGTATTAGCCCTCGTTGGCTTGGATTTTCTGATTTATTTCTAAAAAGTCATTTTTTTCTTGAAGAATAACTACCATTTTTTTTCAAATGATCCACAAATTGTGATTCTGCTGCTTGCTTTTCACCCATGTCAGATTTACTGGTAGGAAAGTCCTGCGGCCCATACCACCAGCTCCTGCGGTCCGGGGGGCGGGGCGGCCGGCTCGAGGGGGTGAGGGCTGGTGGTGGCGGTGCCTGTTTGTTTCTTCATCAGCCCAAGTGCTGATGCAGAAGGACTGTGGGGAGAGGCACCTCGGCTCTGGCTTCTGCTCCTGCTCTGGAAAAACATCCCCAGAATATTTTTCCACCTGTGTGTGTTGCCAAAGTAATGAGACCCAGATGCAGGGCTGGGCGTGGGGAGGGGCTGTTAACTAGAGCCCTTCCCCCACGGGGCATTGCCTGCCGCCGCCTCCAGCCCTCGGTGTCCATACGCTTCTTGCTCCCTTTTCCCCGCAGCCGCCCCTTGCCTGGGAATGGAAAATTGTGTTTTGAATAACTCCGCTTGCCAAATTCCAGACTCAAGAGCTCATTGTGACCCTCCCCTAGCCTTAGAGGGTGACTCCGCCTCCCCCCGCTGGCCAGACAGGACTGTGCCCTCCTCTCTCCAGGAGTATAGCCCATGCAGCAGGAAGCTGGGAAGTCCTTCCTGGAGTCTAAACTGTCAGGCTCTGGCTGGAGACTCTGTCCACTAATTGATCTTGGACATGAATGAGGATCACTTGTCCTTCCCCGTTTGATCGGTAACGCAGTAGCAGGTAGGGCTGCTTCTGCCCTGCCTGGGGCCCCACCCCTTTAAGAAAACCAACTCTTATTGCTTGTAATGAAAAGCCCAGGCTGCCTGTCCTGGCAACGAGGTAGCCAGGAGAAATCTCTCCAGGCCAGGCCCCACAAATGTGGGTGGGTTTGTGTAGAAGGGATTGGAATCATTCCTCCACTGAAGGCCAAGTTTACCAGGCCTCCTTGCGCTGGAGGTCAAGCGGGCTTACCATAATAACATAACGGCAATGATAATAGTAGCACCTGAAGATTCCCTGTCACAATAGCTACCACTTGATGCACGCTGACCAGGAGATGTTGTGTTTTTCCTGTATTAACTCATTCAGTTGTGTTAGAGTTAAGGAAACGGTGGCACAGAGGAGTTGAGTAACTTGCACAAGGCCACACAGCCAGTAAACAGTGGAACTCACATTCAAACCCAAAGCAAGTCTTCGTGCTTAACCATGGTGCTGCCCTGTGTGTCAGAACAAACGAAAGCTTGCCCCTGGCCAGCAGGGAGTAAGCCCATGAGAATGAGGCTCAGCCTTCAGAGGAGAAGCCGGACCTGGGGCTCACCTGGGGCTTTCCAAGGGGTGTGGCCTTCAACCCACTCAGGCCTGTAGCGGGGTGGAGCCTGCTGCAGGCCTCAAGAAGCCTTGGCTTGAAACAATGACAGGGAGACAAGACTCAAGTGTCTGGAGCTAGTCATTGCGGTGAGGGGGGGAGAGCGGGGCAGACTAGGGTGGGGTGGGAGGGGCCAACATACAAAGGGAGAGGAGGACAGGTCTGAGGAGCCAAAAGATGGCATGGTCAAGGCCTGGCAGGAGTTGGGGAACCAGCTTGCACAAAAGATAGGAGGTGGGAGAAGGAGGGTGGAAGTTTGCCAGACCTGGACGGGAATGCGGGGGGCGGGGGGGGGGCAGCAGAAATGGTTGCTCAGTGGTGGGGGAGAGTATGAGGGGAGGGAGCTGAGTGCCAGAAGGGACCTAGAGGATCGTCAGAATATGGAGACAGAAAATAAAGCCCAGTCAATGCCAGCCTATGGGAAACACAGGTCCACTGTGGGTGCCCGTGCCCTAGCCTCTCAGGAGCTCTCACCGCGTGCCAGGCACTTCTCTAAACACTCATTTAATCCCACAACAAGCCTAGGAGGCAGGCTCTATTATTAGACCCATTTTACAGTGGAGGGAACTGAGAGACAGAGTGGTGAAGCGACTTCTGAAGGACACATAGCTTTGAATCCAGGCTGCCTACCCCCAGAGCCCGTGCCTCGGTCGCTGGCACCATAGAACTTCCTGTTTGTCCTCCCTCCACCCATCACGCGCGTCAGTCTCTCCTCATGTAACAGGTAGGGAGACTGTAGGGTGGCTCGGAGGCGGTGCCAGGCTGGGCCCCAAAGTTGGGGGGCTGATTCCCGGCGCTGAGGACTCCCCTGGCCCTGTGCTTCCAGCATCCAGATGGTCCACCACTGCACCATCCGTGGGAACACAGAGGAGCTGCGGCAGATGGCAGCTCGCCGGAACGTGCCCAGGCCACTCTCCACCCTGCCCATGTTCAACGTGCGCACGGGCGAGCAGCTGCCTCCCCGGGTGGACAGCGCCCAGGTGCCCCTCATCCTGGACCAGCACTGAGGGCCTGCCCAGGTGGGTCCAGCGGGACAGTGGCAGCTTTATTTCTGCAAACAATCTGGCCTCTGCCTCAAGGCTGGGGCAGGTGTTGGGGGATGTGGGAGCTCAAGGGAGGGCACACAGGCCTGCCGCCCTGCGGAGGCAGCAGCGAGGCGGCAAGCTCAGCGGTGCCAGGGCTATGCTCTGCACTGCCAAGTGCTCGGGGTCAGAGTGGCAGGGTGGGGAAGGCAGGAGAACCAGGGTCTGCACCTTGCAGCCCCAACTCCCCGCTCTTGTTCCAGCTCCAGCCTTTGGCCTTGTCCTCCCTTCTCCCCTGAAGGCAGGGCAGCTGCCGCCAAGGGCCACAAGCTTCCTCCTGACTCCCGCTCCTGGCCCGATGGGCTCCACGCTGGGAACAAGGAGAGAGACGGAAGCAGGGACGGGTAACCGAGTCTGGGGTCAGGACCTGCAGAATAAACGCCTGCGGTTCTGCTCCTCTATTGCTGTCAGCGGTTTCTTCTCAGCAGCCTCCCTCCCCACCCCGCCCCCCCGCCCTTACAGCCCGTTTCCCTTTCTTCTTTCTGGGTGCCCTCAGAGGTGCCAGGGGCTGCCAGCCCCGCTCTGGTCTCGGCATGTTGCTGTTTTCTCGAGTTCTCCGGAAGAAAGAGGAATCTGCTATATGAGGCCCTGCTCTCAGTCCTCACATGAACCGCCCAACGAGGGATTACTGGAGCATTTTATAGACAAGGACACTGAGGCCTAGGGAGAGTAAGTGACTTACCCAAGGTCAGAGAGCAAGCAAGCGTCACGGCTTGGATTCAAACGGGGCGCGTCTGTTTTCACACTGCCTTCCAGAGGGCTGAGAGGTTCTGGAAGCAGGAGATCCAGGCTCTTACATGCCCAGATGCCCTGGAGGGAGGGCCCCTTAGTGAGTCATGCAGGGAAAGAGCCCAACCTAGGCACGGAAAGGAAAGCGGTGTGGGGAGGCAGAGCCCTCGCTGTGCGGACTCAATGCCTCCTTCCTGGGGGGCTCCTCCAGGGGCTTGGCTTGGTCTCCACGTGCACCCTGGGGGTCTCAGCTGGCCAGGAGGAAACCCGAGCTGGTTTGTCCCAGGGGGCTAAAACCAAAGCAGGCTGCCATCTGGGCCACCCAGGCTGCAATGTGACTGCTGCCTGGGGAGGACGAACCTGAGAGGAGACGCAGAGAAAGGGTGGAAAGCAGACGAGCAAGGACTGTAGCCCAGGCTCTGGCTCCGGGTGGCAACTCCGAGAGAACCTCGACGAGGGCCGAACATCGGCCCGATGCCCCTGAGCCTCTAAATCCCTTTTTTAGTTCTGTGTACCTGGCCTGGGATCCACCGCTGCTCTGGGGCTGACTCTTAACGTCCCTCTCCGCCCTCTGCGCCCACCCTCCACCCTCACCCCTCTCCCCAGGGTGGGGGGGGGGGCTGTGGGGGATGCACCTGGAGTTCCCC